CTGACTACAACTGATAAAGATAACAGGGAAGTGAGAAAGTCAGTCCAGTAGATTGCTACTATTAAAAAAAAGGAAAGTAACGTTCATGCCAGCAATCATTAGGAAAGTAATGAAAAATTGGAATGCCAATAGTTTTGTATCAAAATAATACAAGAGTTCTGACATAAAATCTATCGCATGTCCGCCAAATATATTGTAGATCTGGAAAAGATGCAAAACAAGATCCAAAATGATCAACTTGTAAGAAAAATTTGCAGCTTTTCTGGTGCTTCAACTTAGATTAAACAGCAGTAAAAAGAGATAAGATAGAGATAATAGAATCCTGGATGGTGTGAAAAATATAGACCAAGATTTCTTTTTCTTTCACAATGTTAGAACTTGGAACTAACTATTCATTCAAAGTAAATGGAGGGAGGACCAGTAAAAGGAGCTACTTTGTTTACCTTTCCAAAGGTAAATTATGGAATTTGTTATGAGCTAATGCAATGATTGCCCTTAATTTAGGTGATTTTAAAAAGATATTAGATACATTTATGGAAAATTCTGCTGTAAGCTAAGCACTAGTCTTGATTAACTACCTCTTAAACTACCAGATGCATGCCATAGATATCATCTTCTAGGAAATAACAACGCAAAAGGAATATCACATCTTCATGTTTATGTCCTTCCTATTATATCTGTTTGACTGCTGTGTGACAGAGGATGCTGAGCTGGATGGATTTGTTGCCTGACCAAGCAAGACTTATATTTTTATGAAGCAACCAGAAAACTCACTTGGCTTGAGTGATACGTGTGAGGCAGTCAAATTCAGGAACAAGAATTATTAGGGTTTCTGGGATGGTCTACACTGCTAGTAGGATAAAAGTATATAACCTTAAAAAACTGTTGAAGGAATTGTCTAGATCAGTGCTTTGCAACCTTGGCAATTTTAAGATTCTGGGAATTGAAGTCCACCCATCATAAAGTTGCCAAGATTGAGAAACACTGCTTAGATCAACTTATACTTTAAGATACAGATAATCTGGGTCTATTTCTCATGCTCCTCCTCCCCATCCGCATGGCTGAGGCGTCTCTCTTGCATTCGTTTCCTTCTTGCCTGTTCCCAGGGCCTACGAGACATTCCATCAAATGTGGATTCCTCCATACACATGCAACGTACTTCAGTTACACAGTATTTGATTACCTCAATTTGGTCAGAAGCAAACAGATCAAAAGGACTATCTGAAGCTTTGGCGTTGATCAGCAGTGCATCAAATTCCTTGCCAACTTCAAAATTTCCAATTATATGATTTAATCCTAAAGCTATAAATAAAAAAACACAAATCTCTTTATTTATACACCATGAAATTAAGTAGAAGTGATTATTTTTGAAATCAATAGAAAGGACCCAACAATACATTTGCAAAGGTTATATTTGTGTTCTTTGTTGCAATTCTGTTGTGACTATAATTCCAGTCTAAATAAAAGAGGAGGAGAAAATGACTCAAACTCTTTAAAATAAAATAAAATTTGATGATCAAAAGAAGAATGAACATTTAGCATGGAATTGATCCAGCATCAATTTGGAGAAGTACCTTTTTTAAATTCCAACTTTTAGTAACTTAGTACTGAAATAAACTCTCAGAGTGCCTTTCTATGGTGCTTTTCCTAATCTTTAATATAGTTTCCACATTAAACAGCAGGGGGCAGTAGAATATCAATAGCCACATGCCTGTCAAACTTTAATAAGAGAAGCAGAAGAGGATCAAAATAAATTTATGGATATATAGACCATAAAATTATCTATTTCAAACTAGGAAAAGGAGTTTCAGGGGAACAAATTTGAATCCCAGCCATAGAAGAAGGAAAAAGTTAATGTGTTAAATCCTTGTAGTATGCGAAAATATCGTTCAAATATTTTAAACATTTTAAACTTATTTATAGAGCTCAACGAATGAGAATCCTGTTTGTTCATTCATATAGATTTATATTCTCCCTTATTTCATAGCATATTGGATCAGTGCTAAGTCATCTCCAATCTTCCAGACAAAATAGTCATGTGAGAAGGAGAAATAGGAAATGATCCAAAACCACCCTTTGAATCTTTAGAGTAAAAAATAGCACTGAGCAGAGCTCACCTTGGTCCTCATTCAGCACTGTATGTACCACACCACATGGGGACACACATGTTTTAGCAGATTGGGTAACAGCGTCACATTAAGCTATAGAGAGTTAGTATGTTTAATTTTGTCTTGTTTGATGTCTGGACTTGTTTTTTGTTTTTTGTTTTTTGCAAATCATGAGTGAGAAAACTATGGTTATACATACAGGGTGCATTTGGTCAGTATAATGAAGTGATCAGGATGTAAGCTATGTTAAGGTCTAAATAAAAAGTTTATTCCAAGCCAGACTAGAATAATTTCTGTGTTTTAGGGATAGTCAATTCAAAAGAAGAGAATTACCTTGACTTCCTCCAAGAGTTGCTAGTCGGAATGCCTCCTTCAGAGTTAAGCCTTTTTCATCTGTTTCACTATTAAGGTGAAGGACTTCAGATACCACAATCGTATTTCTGATAGCATCAAGCATGGAAACAGAATAACCACCAGCAACATCTAACAATAGGGCAGAATATTGCAATCAATCTGGAAGGCTTATGCACTAGATGGAAACAGGCGTTTCATTAAATATGCAGGCAGATGCTTATGATTACAACATAGGTATGATCCCATCCTAGCTTTTTAGCATGCTGGCAACTTAAATGTATCTCCCTGGAATTCACTATGTACAGGAGGATGTCCATGCTCTAGGTCAGAGGTGCAAAAAGTGTGGCCAAAGGTCAGGTATAGCGTGCCAGCCTATATCCGGGACTCCCAAAGCTTGAATGGTGAGACAAAAAGTTTACTTTTTTTTTTTTACATTTTATTTGATTTGTCAATCGCTTACAAGATACGGGTATAAGAATAAATATAATTTTGAATACATGAGATAGATACTTATAAGAAAAAAAAAACAATAGGACAGGGACGGTAGGCACGATTGATGCACTTATGCACCAATTCTCCCTGTTTTGCAGTGAAGAGTTCAGAAACAAAAGAGATCTTCAAAAGAGAGCCACCCATTTCACCTCCTGAATCTTCTCCTCCCAGAGGAGCCCAACCTCCACCCACTTATGAGGGACAGGCCTGGTGATGCCAGTAAGGTGACAGAAGTTGAGCATTTTTGCCACAGGCCATTCCAGTTCAGGATGGACAGTGGTGCTGCTATAGCTATAATCTCAAGGATAAAGCCAAGACTCTGTACCACAACTGCTCCTCAGTGGATGGATCCTCAGACAAATGATAAACACCTGAGATGATATGGTGTGATGGGGCTGATGTTTATAAATATTTGATAATCAGGCAGAGGTTGAACAGGACCGTAGATGGTTGCAGCTGCTTGGTTTATTATGTTTATTTATTCATCATATTTATATAGCTGCCATCTCACAATCAAGTGACTTTGGGAAGTTATATAAATATATGAAATGTGTGCTGTAAAGATATTTTTATAAGACAGTTATACCCTTTCCTAAGCAGCTGTCAGAAAAAGTTCCATTTTATTTATATAATTCCATTTTATTCATGAAATATTTCACATTCCTATTGATATATCTTTTTACATAAGTTTGAATAGTGGTAATTTCAAATGGTCACTGAGTGAGTTGTCAGTAAGCAAGGATTGTCTGTATTCACTATGCATTGTGAGCTTATATATGTGGATCATCTCTTTTTTAACCTTTTAAAACAATACCTGAAAGAAAACACTTACATAATAAATCACTAACCTGTGCCTAATCCAAGTTTTACATTGTGGTTCAGAATCTTCCTTGTGTTTAAAAGGCCACTCTTTAATCTAGATTTGAAATAGAAGAATGAAAGGATATCATTTTTATAAGTAAAAAAAATTGATGCAGCAGATGTGCTGATGCATTAAAAGCTGTTCACAAAGTGCTAGAACAAGATGTAAAACAAGCCTTGCCGCTGATTTAAGTATAACTTCATAAGTGTTATTGCTATGAGCATATTCCACGTTAACTAAACTATGCTATATTTAATGCAGCTGAAAAAGATTCAGTATGCAAACCTAATGAGAATATAGTACCTCAATACTGCTCGTTAAAATATTTTCAACCTTCTGTGTGACCTGGAAAAAAGATGTGGCTGCTTTAAGAAGCACATTAATTTTAATTGCCGGATCTCTTAAATTAATGCCATTCAGACTGCCACATAAGTCTGAAAAAAAGGCATGGCTGCTTTAATGAACAGGAGACAAATGCTGGGGTCCTATGAAATTTTAAAAAAAGTCTTTTTAATCATTTCTGAAATGTCTACAATCCTGGTATTTCAGCTTGGGCATAAAATCAATAAAATCCAAGCATATAAATTAGATTTTTCTGGTATATAAATATGTGAAAGAAGATTGAATGAATCAACCATTGGAAACAACCAGAATGAGTGTTGAGGTAATTCCCCATTAGGAGAATGAGCGCATACAGGGAGACATATTTGAGAGAAGCGTTTGAATAATACACACACAGCACACAGATACACTGTACAGTAAATGTAGGTTTTTACTTCCAGAAAGTTTTAAGCAAAGTTCAAAACAAGCAGTCCAAAGTCATTCACAGGTAAGTCAGTCAGTTTTCAGTTCAGGGATAATCCAATAACAAAGTCCAGTATCAAAAACAGTTCAGTATCAGACTTACATCAAATCCAGGAATAGCAGTCAATTAGAAGAAACGACAATACTCTCCAACAGAAGGAAAAACAGAGACTCACTCACACTCTCTTCTGAGACTAAGGCTAAGACTAAACAACCCAGGTTTCTGGCTCCATCTTATGGCCGTTTGAGAAACCACACCCAATTACATTTTTGCATTTCTTAAAGATACAGTTTTAAAATGTCTATCCTGGTTTATAAATTGTCCAACCCAAATAGCTGTTAGGTGACTTATATTCCTAACAATGTGTTTTATGGAATTGATGAGTATATTTTAGGTTCCCCATCTCACTTTAAGATACCCAAGATTCATATCTGAAAAACCTGACAATCAAATACTTTCAATATTTAATCCAGATGCACCTGGACATGTGGCCCTGGACATCTAGTAATGCAGTCCCTTAAGATTGTCAACTTTTAACAATATTATATCATTTATATACATTAATTATGTTTATATATTTTATACATGACCCAAGCAATTTTTTATCACTTAATGCAGCTCATGCAAGCCAAAAGGTTGAACACCTGTGTTTTAACTCATGACGGATATTTTTTAAACGACCTACCACAAATCTGTGCTCTCCATCTTTATCTTCATTATTTAGGAGTATGAGAATAATTTAATACGTAGCCCAAGAGCACCAGATTGGGAAAGATTGAACAGAAAGGGCATTGGTACTTACCTGATACGCCCATTCTCTGTGAGCTGTGAAGAGCATCCAGTGATGGGAAGATGCTTCAGTCCCTTCTAGGAAGGCTGGGCTTAAACTTGAGGACACTCCTCCTCCTCCACGAGACTCCTCCTTAGCGTCCCCAGTTTTGCGAAGCCAAGGTATCGATACCCTATATGCTTAAGCCTGTGTAATAACCCTGGCCAGAACAGACCCCCTACCAGAGGGAATAAAAGGGAGGGGCTGGATGCTCTTCACAGTTCACAGAGAATGGGCGTATCAGGTAAGTACCCATGCCCTTTCTCCCATGAGCTGTTCAGAGCATCCAGTGATGGGACATACCAAAGCTTGGCACTGTCCTAAGGGAGGGACTCCATCTGGGTTGCAGACCTAACTGTCTCTGAAATAACTTGCTGCAAAACTCGCCTACCAAATGAAGCCTCAGCAGAAGCAAATACGTCAATTTTATAATTTCTAATAAATGGAGATGGAGAAGCCCAGGTTGCAGCTCGGCAAATCTCCTCTATTGTAGCTTGGGTCGCCCATGCTGCAATGGTGGCTGCACTCCTTGTGGAGTGAGCGGTAATGCCTTGGGGCACTGGAATCAAGTGAGAGTCATACGACTTGTGATGGTGGCCCTTAGCCATCTACCTATGGTAGAGGATGAAACCTTGAGCCCCAGGGTATTAGGCTGAAAGGACATGAAGAGGGCTTCTGTCTTTCTGGAGGGCGCCGTGCGCTCTATGTAGATGCGTAAGGCTCTTCTTACATCCAAGTGGTGCCATTGGTGTTCGAGCCTGTGTGATGGACGTGAGCAAAAATTTGGGAGCACCAGCTCTTGAGTTCTATGGAATGCCGAATTAACTTTTGGAATTAAGCAGGGATCTGGTTTGAGAACCACTCTATCCGAATGGAAAATGCAGAGATCTTTGCGCACCGATAATGCAGTTTGGAGATTCCTTGGGCAGATGTAATTGCTGTCAGGAAAACTACTTTGTAGGTTAGAAATCGAAGCGTCGTGGTCCTTAGTGGCTCAAAGGGACCTGTAGTAAGGGCCAATAGTACCTTATTTAAGTCCCAAGTTGGATATCAGTGCACTACGTGGGGCATCAAGTTCTTGGCACCATGCAGAAAACTGCGAATGCGAGGGTGATGAGATATGGAGATAAGATCATCCCAAGATATGACTGAAGCCAGGGCTGCCACTTGTCTTCACAGAGTATTGGGTGATAACCCTTTGTTTAGGCCCTCCTGTAAAAATTCTAATAACTGCACTACTGATGGGGAAGTGGGGTCGATCTGAACCCTTTGACACCAATGGCAGAAGCTAGACCAGATGGCCTCATAGATTCGGTTTGTCGAAGGATGTCGAGCCGACTGAATAGTGTGAATAACTTGACTAGAAAGGTGTTCACACCCCCATCCAGACCTGGCACCTATATGAGGGCACAGAGGTCTGTAACTGATAATTAGATCAGTTTAACTGCACTTATTGACTGTGGAATCCAGCAGTTCAAGTCCTCTATCATCCAGTGGACTGGTGGTAGGGACCTCCCCTTTCCAGGTCCCCAAGAAGGGAAACCTTGTTGGGTAACTTGCCTCACAGACAGTAACAATTACTCAGCAAATTTAACCATGTGGCCTTTAAAATGGTGCCTGCCTTGTGGCAGAATGAAAACGAAAGCAGCTATCACCTCCCGGCCTGCTGAAAGCAAAACCACTCAGTGGGAAGGCGCAGGGGCTAATTCCCTGCCCTGAGGTGTTCTGCGGGGAAAGCCTCGTAATAAAAAGGAAAAAAGGCTGCACTTTTAAATGGAAGTTTCAAACCTCGAAGGGACAGAGCGTTTACTCAGCCGGCTGGGAGATCGGAGAGATAAGCCTCCTTGTTTAGAAGTTTAAGGCAGCGTGTCTCTGAAACGAGAGGCTTTTAGTCTCAGGGCAGATTGGAAAGATAAGCCTCCTCGTTTATGAGGCTTTAGCCTCAGGAGGCTGGAACGTAAAAACAAAATAAAAGAAAAGAAAAAACCGAGCAAAATGACTTTTGGAGGTTCCCAGGGGCGTGGTTAGTGACAGAAACTATGGTTTTACCTGACCTGAGAAATAAATCAACTAAATCAGCTAAATCGCCAGTGTTCTGTTCTGACCAGAGAAACAATAACACAACCTGTCTGAAGAAAGGCTGAGCTAAAACTGGGGACGCTAAGGAAGAGTCTCGTGGAGGAGGAGGAGTGTCCTCAAGTTTAAGCCCAGCCTTCCTAGAAGGGACTGAAGCATCTTCCCATCACTTTATGCTCTGAACAGCTCATGGGAGAAACTCATTTCTTGAAAGTGTTATTACTTTGTGACACTGTATTACTCACGATATGTTTGAATTAGGACAATGTACAATGGCAGCTCCTCTACGTTTAAATATGTCCAGCTCTTCATCAGAGAGATAGCACCCATGAGCCATTATAGTCTAAAAGTAAACACAGTAATATCACCTTTACTTATTTGAATTATTTCATTTTGACAATTCAGGTTTTAAAACAACAATTTTAGGATCTATTGTGAAAATCACCATAGCAATAACCCGTAATGCACCAATATTGCTCAACATTTTTAGTAAAATTTTCAGTTTCCCAATTCCTTACTGAAAGGCAATTAAAGTGGCATCCATTTAGGGTTACTAGTTAGATGCTTATATTTAATGCAGTTCCTTCAGATGTTCACATCTGCAGATAAAGTAAATAAACATTCATCTTAATAGGTCCTACCGTATAACCCTTGACAACCACTGCTTACTTCTATGGTAGCAATACACAATGAGCTTAGTGAGAGTTCCTTCTGAACTCATGAATGTGCTATTGATATATTGGAAATTTTCATGCAATTCTTACAATATCATGTGAAAACTGGGAGCAGTTAGAATTTTAAAGTTGTGAGCTTAACATAATAGAACAAGGTTAGATTACAAGGAAAAATATAGGAAGCTTAAAAAAAGGAAAGCATCCTTTTTTAAAAAAAATCTAAAAGTAGTCTACTATGTATTTTAAATGCATTTTTATAAATGGTAGCTAATATATATAAAACATTTAACATTTTGTCAACTACCAAATTATTTGTCTTATTGGGTAAGTACAAATGAACTAAATACAGGCAAAGTACAGAACAATACAAACTCAAGGTTAACCGCACCAAACTTGACTGCAGAAAATACGACTTCAGCAACAAAGTGGTCAATGTTTGGGATACTCTGCCTGACTCTGTGGTTTCTTCCCCAAACCCCAAAAACTTTAACCTTAGACTGTCTACTATTGACCTCACCCCCTTCCTAAGAGGCCTGTAGGGGGTGTGCATAAGCGCACCAATCGTGCCTACCGTCCCTGTCCTATTGGTTTTTTTAAATTTTTCTTATAAGTATCTATCTCATGTATTAAAAACTATATTTATTCTTATACCTGTATCTTGTAAGCGATTGACAAATCAAATAAACACTTAAAATACTTATATATATTTTATATGTTCAGCCAACTGCCAAAGGGATAGAACTTTCTATAACCCTTTGCCACTACCTAGTAATCATCTGAATTTATGAACCCAGAGCTGAATGGTAAATAGCTTCTTGAAATAAACGTTGGGGTTTTTTTAAGTTTGTTTTTCTAACAAAACTAATTTATACACAAGTTTTAAGATCTTTATAAAAATAATGAGATAAAGAAAGGTCAGAACACCAAAAACTAAGCAATGCCCTTTTGTTAGCTTGATCAACATTGATTCTACTTCAACAGTAACTCAACACTTGTAACTCCAAAAGCAGCATTACTCAAAATATTTTCATGATTGGTAAAAATAACAAACCTTGTTTGTAAGTAGCTTATTTTTATCATATAGCTCTGTATAATGTTGATAATGTGGAAACGTGCTTTCTATAAGTCTGACCTCCCCTTTAGACTCACTTATGTGGCTCTGTAAGATGGGAGAAATACAGAGAAAGTGGTCAGTATTTCACAATAATATGAATGTCTCCATACATGCAAGTTATTGAAGCTATTCAATACAAAGCACTTACAAAGTTACATATTTAATGAAAACAATATTTATAAAACTTCATAGCAAGTAAAGTATTATTGACAGTTTTATGGTAAATTAAATTATTATTTGAGAACTTCTTTAGACAAACAATGCCAAAAAAAAATTAAAAACAGAAGAGAAACATTTTGCTTTAACAGATTTTTAAAACCCTTACAAAAATTAATGATATAAAGAACTATGGTAGCATTGCATGAAGCAAAGCTGCTTAATCTAGACCACATTTTGAAAAGTTGGAATATTGAATTTTAGATGTTTAATATGAAAAAAGAGCTGATGGAGCTCCCTCCATAGCTGAGAACAGTATTTTAAAGAGAGATAATATAGACAGCATAGAAGAAGCCTGAATAATGTTGGGCTCCTTCAATGCATAGCAGAATAGTGCTGTGTTTATTCAAGTTTTAAAATATTTCTTCCACGTAATTTTCAATTGGCACACACCAATATTTATAATGTAACTTAATCCTGGGAAACAAAGTTGAAGTAGGTCAGCAGGAAGTCTTTTCAATTTACTGTAAGTGATGAAATTCATGAATCATACTTTACAGAGAAAAAAAGACTACACATTATAATTAAAGACTGAAACAAATGGATATTGAAAAGCAGTGACTTGTGATTTAAGGGATGTAAGAGCAGTACAGGATCATAACAACAACCTATAGAGTCCAGTTGCCATCATAGCAATGCCCCTCTTCATCTGTTGACTTCATATCTGTGTCTTACTTAGCTACTTGCATATTTTCAGTATGGCAAATTATTGCCTTGTGTTGAGTGAAACATGATAGCTATTTAAAAATGCAAGGATTCCTATCAAGTAAAAATATTTCATTAATAAAATTTAATTGCACCGTTCCAATACACTATCGGGGTTTTTTTGTTTGTTTGTTTGTTCTAGGATAGAATGCACATTTGATTGAGTACAGGTAGTTCTCAACTTATAACACATCTCCCCAAGAATGTATTTATTTATTTATTTATTTATTTAATTAATTAATTTTATTTGCCTGCCCATCTCATATCCAACAATATAAAACATTGAAAAACATTAAAAATCATCCATTATAAAAACACAGCAGATTAAAAACATTAACAGATAAAATCAAGGAGAAAAGATGGCAAAGAAGGGAGCCAGAATTTTCCCACTGGGTCCCCAAGCCATCTGGTAGAGCCAGGTCTTGAGGCTCTTTCAGAAAGGTGGGAACCGATTTCATTTCAGGCAATAAGATGTTCCAGAGGGCAGGAGCCACGGAAGAGAAGTGCAGGATCCTGCCAGCCGAAATTCCTTGGCTAACAGGATCCGCAGTATGCCCCCTTTGCCAACACTAGGGGGTCAATCCCATCAGGATGAGGCAGTTCCTCAAATAGACTAGACCCATGCCATGCAGGGCTTCAAAGGTGATGATCAACACCTTGAATGCACCTGGAAGTACATTGGGAACTAGTGCAGCTCACGAAACAGTGGTGTAATATGAGCCACTCTAGGGGCCCTAAGAACTGCCTGCACCACTGCATTCTGCACCAGCTGTAGCTTTCGAATGCTATTCAAGCGTAGCTTATGATCTAGTTTTGAAATTCCAATGGCTGCTAACACACTGTGGTCACATGATCACATTCTGGGTGCATTTAAGGCTTTTTGCATGGCCCTGCAGTCACATGACCATGATTTATGATTTTGGGGATGGGTGGGTAAGAAATTAGCTTTTACTTTTTATTTCTGGCAAAAAAAAAAGCCCAGTGAGTACAATGGGTTCACTTAACCACCACCCTGTTCACTTAATGACTACAGCATTCATTTAATAACCATGGCATTTGCTTAATGATTGGTGCAAAAATGTCATAAAATTGGGTCTGGTCAAATGTTGACTTACTTAATGCCTGGCAATTGAGCCACACCTTGGTGTTTTCAAGGCTCAGACACCAAAAGTCAATTTAACCCCATCAACTATTTGAGATTACAAAAACAAATGCCAAGTCAGATTGAGAAAAGGATGTGTGTGTGTGTGTGTGTGTGTGTGTGTGTGTGTGTGTGTGTGTGT